AATCCTTCTAAGACCCTTCTTTCCCTATTAAAAAGCCTTATTTATTAAATCTAAGGCACCTCTAATAAATCCTTCCAAGGCCCTTATCAGTTTTCCTTATCAAAGCCTTATTTCGTAAAATCTAAGGTATCCCTGAAAGATCCATTTTCGAGGCCTGATGTGGTAATAATGAGGCATCTCTCTTTAGGACATCCTACTTTCAGTGCCTTATGCTTCACGAGGCTGGCCCTAACAACAATTTTTTACTCGGGAGCCTCTCTCGATTCGCCCGAGATCTGCCGAGAAATTCCGGCGATTCACGGCCGCCGGTAAACGCGCGCATGCGCGTTGTGATCGGACCGTGGTCGGTGAGAAAGAGAAGAGAGGGGAAAGAAGAAGAAAGGTGTTCGGGGTGACTCCTGAGTGTTGAGGAATCTGGAAGGTTGCGGCACCGCGTGGGTGGCAACGGGGAAGTTGCGTTTCTCGCGCGAGGTTTCGTGCGAGGAGCGCAACGAGGTCGGCCAGCTCGCGCGCTCGTGAGGATCGTTAACCTCCCCGGCGAGTGACGATCTTGATTGAATTCGGCGTCGAACCGGACCGCCGGCCGGCGACGCGACGTTGCGAAACGCACGCGATGGAGAGAAATCCGCTGGCGCGGCAAAACCGATTGACGCCTTCCAGCGCGGAGCCGCGCGCGCGCGCTGATAAGGGCCTTTATAGCGCGTTTAGTTACGCGACACACGCCCGCGTTTCTGCTGAGACGCGCGCGTGACGCACGCGGCAATTACCATAGGTCGAAGCGGCGTACGAAGGAGCATCCGGGAAAAGGCTGATTTGATCGCTTAATCCGCCCATTGTCGGCCAATGGAAGACGGAGAAACGCGAGCGTGTGAGAGCCGCCGCGAGATCGCGGATTTCGCGGCACTGCCGGCGACTTTTCGTTGATTATTGAGAAGCACATTGGTAGTAACGTTGAGATTAATCGCATACAAATTACCTACCTGTTACTTCTATAATTTTCTACTGATTTGTATAATCTTTTAGAGGCGCAGAGAAAGAAAGTACCGTTCAGCTGAATCATAAAGATTACATGAGATATTTTCCGAAATATTTTGTAATTTTATTTTTGTGTATATAATTTTCGATATTTTGCCAGTGAAATGTCAGCGGCGGTGCATTTGGACGACGGTCTCTGCGCGCGAAAGCGAGCGTCGAATTTTCTAATCTGTATAATTTTCTACTTTTATTGTATAATTTTTTTAAACACATGGGACAGAAGAAAGTAGAAAGTTTGGCTGAATCAGGAAGATAATGAGATATTTTCTGAAATATTTTGTCGTATGAGAATTAATCAGATATTTCCTCAGACATTCCTGAAATATTTTGTAATTTTATTTTTATGTGTATAATTTTCGATATTTTGAAATAACAGCAAACGATGCTTTGAACTTCTCTGTGCGCGAAAGCGAACATTGAATTTTCGCTAAATTATTCCTAACGCTCGTGTGTCAGATTCAAGCGACTCGTATAATCAAATACAAACCAACTACGAGTTCCCTTTAATTCTCTATAACTCCATGTAATGAAAAACCCACGTTTATTAGGATTTTTTCCTCCATTCTGTAAATATCTGCCTTTAATAACCTTTCGTACTCGGAATGTCAGCGCGACTGGCATGCACAATTATTCCGGCAACTCGGAATGCCAGCTGCGCTGGCACGAAAAAAATGTAACGACAGAAAACAATAAAACAATAAAATACGACGATAACATTGAAGGAAATAAATAAAATTTTTTGTAGCTTTTCTAGGAATTTAGAAATTTTATTTATAATTATCGAGTTGGTGAAAGGAAACGTGGAAATATTCCTCGAGTATAAAAGGTTAAAGTCCTGAACCCTTTCCTTTACAAACACTCTGTATATTTTGGTATATGACTTATATTGCGCTACCGATATCGTCACTCTCTACTATATGTTTTTATTTACATGCGCTCCTATCTCTCTCATCACATTTTCTATTTATACAGGGTGTCCGGGATCTTTGGGAAACGAAAAATTGTGAAGATTAATCAGATCAAACTGAGAAGAAAAATCCCTTAGCATTTTACAAATAAGTATGCAAATTTTCAAGTTATCAATTAAAAAAGCGGCCTTCAGATGCGGCCATTTTCAATCATTAATAACTTGATAACTATTGCGATTCTTGCAAAATGGTACTTGACTTTTCTTCTCAGTTTGATTTGATTAATCTTCACAATTTTTCGTTTCCAAAAAAGATCCCGGACACCCTGTATATATCTTAGATATTCTTACGGATAGTCAACTTTATCTGCTGCTTCGTACAAATTTCGGGGTTTCTCAAACAAATAAATGAATATCGGCGACAGCGGAATTTCGCCGAGGAGCGTCGCAACCGCACGCGTTACCGTAATCCAGCTTGCGTTCCCCTGGAAGCGCGGCCGATTACGACGGGCCGAGTGCGAAACTGCGAGAGAGAACAGAAGGAGGAAAAGAACAACACCTCACGCCGCCTCGCTCGGACGTTTCGGCCCCGCAACGACGGCGCCGGCGGAGGTGGAACGAGCCTCGCGCGCGCGCGCGCGCGTTTCCTAATTATACCGCGTTTCAAAATCCTGCGACGGCGCGGCGGTGGCAACAGCAGCAACGGCAGCAGCAGCAGCAGCAGCAGCAGCAACGGCACAGCCGATGAACCAATATGCTTTTCTGGCTTGCAACATTCCCCGGACTCTCCTTATTCCACGCTGCGAGCGCGGGAGCAGCTCGCTGAGCGGCAGGAATGCGGATTGGCCAACAACGGGCCGACATACGAGTCGATCTCTCGATCGCCGGTGCCGGTGCCGGTGCCGGTTGCTCGCTCGCTCGTTTGCTCGGCTCGCTCGCGTTCGCCTCGACACGTGGGTGCGTCGCGCCGCCGGATAACGAGTATGAGCGAGCCACTCGCAAACACACCCTAAATCATCAGCCGACGTGGTCCAACGGAATTTCAGCGGACACAATGCGCGCGCGCGCGCGCGTGCGCGCGAGCGAGAGAGAAAGAGAGAGGACAAGTATAAGCTGGCAACTTGCGAGGCTCTACAACCGCATGTCCATCAGCGCTCTACGCGACGCACCTGTCACGAGAACACCTGAGAAGGCTCGAGTTCACGCAGTAGACATTTCTTTTTCTACTCGAAATTAATGCTGGGCGATCGACCCTCGGAAGATCGATCTTCTTTCTCGATCTTGAAAAATTACTGTCTCAAGTCGACCCCTCTTCTGCTCGGTTTTTGTGCAAACCGATTCTTTCGACAGAGAAAATCGATTTCGAAAATAATCTCATATTTTTCTAACATATTTCAATGCTTACACTGTACTTCATATTCATACTTACTTTGTTTACAAGTCTTTCGTGGTTATTACACCCGATTATTCATTTTTAATTATTTGTAAACAAATAAGCTTGAAAAGAATTTAATTTCTAGGAAAGTGTTTAAGATTAAAGGCAGAAGATTTTACTGAATGTTTTTCACATGTCAAAGTATAATATATATTTTTTTCCGAAATTTTTCGCACGCTATATTTTCTTTTATAAACAAATTACTCTCGAAAGAATTTTGTAAATCTGACATGAAATTCGCAATTAACGGTCTGAAAAAAACTTTTATATCGCGTATCTAATTTTCATTTGTTTAGTCTTATACTAATTTATCCGTATATGCCAGCCATATTGGATCTGTCATTTTGAATTTCAGATTTGTAATCAGCGACCCAAGAAACACAGAAATGCACAAGATTTCACGGAAAACCGTCTGGTAGCAAAAAATGCCACACAAAAGATCAATGAAGGATTCACGAGGGGTCAACGTTCGAAAGAATCGATTTGTACAAAAATCAAGCAGAAAAAAATCGACTTTCCAAACCAACCCCCCGCCTCTCCTTCGATTTTTGCGCAAATTCATTCTTTCCAACAGAGAATCGAGTTTCGATCCATCGATACACACTTATTCGTCCATGCAGTTTCGTTTAATGGAGAATTCAAGTGGGCTCCGCGCGTCCGAGAGAATAGATCTTCCGAAAATCAGATCGACATCGCCCGTCATTGTTCGGAATACGACTTCGATCTCGCTTTCGCGCTTTGCGAGTGCGCCTTGAGTTCGAACACGTTCGCTGCGTGGAGCATCGAAGATACTTCGGCGATCACGCGTCGCTGAACGTGCGTCGGCCGGGCGATCTGACTCAAGTTGAAAGGACCTGTTTTCAAGACCCACATCGATACAACGTAAATCGCGTCCGCCTGACATATTCCGCGCGCACGAGAGCGACACGTTCGCCCCGCGCGAGTCAGATCCGCGACGAATTAGTTCATAATCGTTTCATTTCCATATTCGCTCATGCTCCTTTTTCAGCGCCGAGAACACACAGAGAGAGGTCACCCGTCGAGAAAAACACACCCACAGCGATCGATTTCCCCTTCACTCGGAAAAGCGGACACGAACCCCGCGCGCGCTATCGATACCTTCGCTTCGGTCCAAACGATGTATGTCATCTATCCGCTCTCGGCGATCGGCGGAGAGGAGAACGCCGAGCCACGTGGCGCTAATAGTATAAAAAAAAATTAATAAATAAATAAAAGAGAACGCCACAAAGTGCCAAATAGTGGAAAAATGTAAGCGAGAAAAATCGAGCGAACCTCCTCGGCCTCAACGAAGTTTCAAGACGGTGAGAATTTCACACTCGCTTCCTATTCACAGACCTCCTTTCAGCTGAGAAGCTACTTCTGCATCGGAACTCTGTTCCCCCTGCCTTCAATCGTAAGATTATATACTCGGCCCTCTCCGAGGGCAAAAAACACAGCCTCGCTCGGCGAAGAAGAACAGACCTCATGTCTCACGCAAGCAAGTAATCCGTCTGTCCTCGTCGCTCTACATCTCGCTGCTCGATAGGTCGATCGGCAGACAGACACGAGTCCAACGCGTCCAACAAACGAAGTGAACTTCATGATAAAGAGATGGAGCCTTACCTCGCTTCGTCAGCGAAAACAAACTTCCGGAGCTTGAGGTCCCTCAACACGACCCCGTACTCGTGACACTTGGCCACGGCCCTGGCAGCCTGCCGGAAGAGCCGCCTCGCCTCCGGCTCGCGCAATCTCCTGCGTGCCCTTACGTAGGCGTGCAGGTCGCCGTGGTGGCCCTCCAACAGAAGGTAGCGCCGGCCCCCGGATGCCTCCACAACGCCGGCCACCCCGCTCGCCGCGCCGGTGCCCTCCAGACGAAGGTGGGCCTGCAGCAACGCCTCGCAACCTTTGTCGCCCACGGTCAACGCCTGCAATCAATCCGGAAATGCGATTTGCAACAAGAGCGACTCGAGCGCCGCGCCGCGCCTCGTTGCGAAGCGAGGGTGCGCCGGCCGCGACTCTAAAGGCGCTGGATTTGCGATTAACCGTCTATAAAGCCGCGTAAAGTCTAAATCTCTAAAGTCACATATCGATGCATCGATATTCTTGACTTGAATTATACAGGGTGTCTAGAAAAAGGTTTCAGGACTTTAACCCTTTGCACTCGAGAGATGTCTCCACATTTCCTTTCGCCAACTCGATAATTAGAAATATAATTTCTAAATTCCTGCAAAGGGTACAAAAAAGGATCTTTATTGCCTTTAATGTTGTCGCCGCATTTTATTGTTTCATTGCTCTCTGTCTTTAAGTTTTTTTTTCGTGCCAGCACACCTGGCATTCCGAGTTGCCGGGATAAATGTTCATGCCAGCTGTGCTGGCATTCCGAGCGCAAAGGATTAAGGGCATATAGCACTCACAAAATGGAGGGGAAAAGTCCTAATAAACTTGGGCTGAAAAATTAATACTGTTGGAGTTGTGGACAATTATTTATTTTAATTTAAACAAGTGATTTACTCGCTTCTGGTGCACGACCATACATGAGAAATGCATTTCTGCCATTTCTTGATTAAATTCTGTTTATTTACGTTCTGAGCGAGAGCGAAGGGACTTTTTTTAAAGATTCTTATGGACACACAAATTACACAAATGAGAGAATACAAAAAAAATCAGAAGCGAGGAAGTCACTTGCTTTAAATTAAAATAAGCAATTCTTCATAACTCCGACAATATTAATTTCCCAACCCATGATGTTTATCAGGACCTTTTTCCTCTATTTTGTGATCATTACTTTTCCTTGAATTCTTGTTTTTTAAACACCCTGCATCGACAGCTTTGGGTTTCTAGAAAATAAACGACTTCCTCTAACACTCCTCAATTAAAAATGTCGGAGAGAGATAGGCACGACCTTCGGTGGATCGAACACTTGTTATTATCATCGCCTGAAATAATTACTTGTTTATCGCGCATAAATAAATAACGAAGTCAATCCGGAAAAACCTTGTGCGTCTCTCGAGAGCAAGAGCGCTTCGCTTCTTTCGTCGAAACTGAAGAGAGCGAACGATTATTCGGCAACCTCCCCGATTATTCCGAGCGGATATTGAAGGTGGACTTTGGCGCGTTCGAACGAGTCATCAAGATACGCGACCTTGATTTCTCATCTCATCGTACAACGAGGGTCGATGCTTGAGCCCGATAAAATCGCGGCCGGCAGCGGGCAGCGGCAGTTTTCCTGATCGCGCGCTAATTAACGATCGGCTCGGCCTGCATAAAAGTCGAATCGGCCGAGAATGCGCGAGCGCGTTAATTCGGAATTACGCGCGAGCACAGCCCCGTAATTAAACCGGTGTAGGTTACGATGTAATCCGCGATAAGCGAACCGGACGGATGGCAGGGAGGAGGAAAGAGCCAATTAACATCGACGAGTTATGAAGATTCCGAGGGACGAGAAAGAGAGAGAGAGAGAGAGAGAGAGAGAGAGGGAGAGAGAGAGAGAGAGAGAGAGAGAGAGAGAGAGAGAGAGAGAGAGGGAGAGAGAGAGAGAGAGAGAGAGAGAGAGAGAGAGAGAGAGAGAGAGAGACGGCGGGCAAGCAACTTTGTTGCCCGTTCGGCTGCGTTCATCTCCGTCGGGCTCGTGTCGAAACTCGACACCGTTTCGACATTCGAGTCCCATTAGTTTAACAAGAGCACCGGTGCGTTCTTTACGAAATCACCCCCTCCCCCGTTCCGCCGCCGCCGCGATCGGCTATCGGTTGCCGCTTTTGTACAATGGCCCCGATATAGAAGAAGCGTATTCGACCGAAAAATCGAGAAACTCGTCCCCTCCCCTCTCTCTCTCTCTCTCTCTCTCGCGCTCTCGCGACCCTATTATTTGATTTCGGCGATTATATAGGTCGATTCAAAACTCAGCGCGGAATTCTCGTCACTCCGGAGCGGCGCGCTCGCCGACGGCGGCCATTGTGACAGAGAGACGTCTCTCGCCAGGTCGCTAATAATGTTCTTCTTCCACCGCTGCTCCCTTTAGCCACCGCTGCTCCGTCGAAATCAGGAGTTGTCGCGGCTTGCGAAAGCGAGCGTCACGCGACGCTTTCGCGCGATTGTCAATTATATTAAACGGCCATGGTTCTAGAGGCGATTATGAATAACGAACGCCGAGGTGCGATGTGTGTACGTGTGACGGCGATGGGGCCGCGAAGTGACAGCCTTGTATTTGTTCGCGGCGCGATGACGTAAGCGACTCTCATTGTATAACGCGCGGCGATTGTAAAATGTTAATGAAAACGTGGCAAGAGCCGGCGGCGTCGCGCGTACGCGTTTCGTGACGGGCGTATCGCGCGATGGTGTTTGTTAATCTCTCCTCGGAGACGCTTTCATTCGCGATTCTTGGGAAGGGACACAAATGGCGTATCGGGGAGAGGAGGAGTTTCGCGCGGTCCGAAATCGAAGGCCTCGGGGAAACGTGAATCAACGTGAACGCAAGGCGCGATGTGCAGAGGAGAAGGTGGCATTGTGATCCTCCATTCACATTTTGTTGCAATAACTTTGTCAACAATGAATATTTTAAAGTGAGAACTGGGCGATTATGTTTGTCACAGTGTCGTTTGATCGATTATAGACTCAAATTTACATAATACTCATTACTTAGGATATTATTTATAAAAATGTGGCCGCTGCTCAATGGGTCGGCGAGAAAATGGAGTGGTATTGTGGCCTCCCACTAAAACTACTATAAAAAATTGATTTTGTTTTAAAATACCACAAAGTGTTTAGTTACGAAATTATACAGGATGTGCGGGATTTTTTGGAAAAAAAAAAGAAAAAGAAAAAAGTTGTGAAGATTAATCAGAAGAAAAATGAAATTGAGAAGAAAAATCAAGTACCATTTTGCAAAAATCGCAATAGTTGTTAAGTTATTAATGACTAAAAATGAATGACATTTAGAGGCTTTTTTAATCGATAACTTAACCGAATTGCGATTTTGGCGAAATGCTACTTGACTTTTTTCACAGTTTGATCTGATTAATCTTCACAATTTTTCGTTTCCAAAACGACTTGGACACCCTATATATAATATATTTTATTTATGGGTTTGCAATTAATACCGTTTATAAACGTCGTGTAACTTTGAACGTGGCTTAAATTATACAGAATGCTTAAAAAACAAAGGTTCAGGACTTTAACCCTTTGCAGCACTTGAGAATTTCCACATTTCCTTTCACCAACTCGATAATTATAAATATAATTTCTAATTCCTCGAAAAATTACAAGAAAGGATTCTTATTATCTTTAATGTTGTCGGTCGCATTTTATAGTTTTATTGCTCCCTGTCTTTATATCTTCTTCGTGCCAACACAGCTGACATTCCGATTTGCCGGAATAAATATTTATGCCAGCTGTACTGGCATCCCGAATGCAAAATGGTACTTGATTTTTCTTCTCAGTTTGATTTGATTAATCTTCACAATTTTTCTTTTCCAAAAGATCCCGGTATATTCATTCAAATTAAATTCTTAGAAGAGGAATAATAATGAATATAACTGCGAATTTTTATCGTGGATATTGACCTACTTGTTAGGAAATATAATCCGCCAGAAAGATAGCAGTGTAATGCAAATATAAACATAGCAATGGACTTCAGATTAGAATCGACTTGTCGAATAATTATTTTGGTATAAAAACCTCGAAAAAAAGACAATATTTATCAGCACTCTTACGATCAGCCACATTAGCGAAAAGTCACGCTATTTTATTTAACTTTGCATAACTTGAAAGACAGCCGTATAAACTGTCAAGTAACAAACAAAATACTCAATTGTACATATATTCGCGTGATAATATACTCGAGTTTGAAGATAACGAGGAACCATGTCTGATTAAATGCCAACATGTACCTGGCTCGAAAGTAAAAATGCATTATAAAAAGTGCTAGCTATTGCGTATTGATATATTAGCGTCACTGCGCTAATGGCCAACTACTAAACAAATGATTCTATAAGCAATAACTGGAATTTGCTACTTAATAACGGAAATGTTGAGAGTACCCATAATACCTACAACGGCCATATAATCACTTTTCCTCTATTAAATAAGAATGAGAATAATACGCGACGTCATCATGCGCGAGGAAGTAGGATATTACGTGCCGAGAGGTTATGTGCACACGCGCGCACGTCGAATTCACTGGCGCTAGCGTCGCTGATGAAACCTCTGAAACCAAATTTGAAATTCTAATTCCGAAGATACGAGAGATATACGAGCGTGGTTTGATAAAAATTGCTCAATGCGGGGTATCCGGGTTTCTTATCAGTCAGCTACTTGTTCGAGCAGAGCGCACGAGACATTGAAACGTTAGACTTATCTCGACCGATCCGTGGCCGATGTGCGTAAGTATAGGATGTTACAAAAGTGGGTTTCACGTTTACAAGGTGGAGGACTGTACTCGATATATTAAATAAAACATGTCTTAATATAAGCGTAGGCCGAACAATAAATCTTTCTCATCAATAGCAAACCTCTTTCGATGCTGGTAATGCAAATTGGTCACGTGCGGTGACCAAAGGATAAGCATAAGCACGACAAGTGTTTTACACGTTCTCCTTCTCCATTTCTACACACGTTCAACATCCTCGAATTAACAAATTGCGAGCTCTCAAATTCCTTCTTCGAATCTGGTCAGCTGCGTCTTGAGTTCGCTGACATCCAAGTGATAACACGGCAAGATACTGGCGCTTACTCAGCGCGCGTGATCAATAGAAACGCACAAAAGACTTGCGTCACTAAAATAAAAAGAAAAGAAAAAATGTTTACAACTCTAAGAGATTTGATTTTTCGAGGTGGAGTTTTCGAGTCGATTTTTCGAAAGGTCGAGCCAAGATCGCTGCTGTCTCAGCGAACACTTTTTCTTTCAACCATCGTCACGATCCATCACATTGCTAGTGTGGAACCTTCTTTCCCCGACACCCTATACATACACATATCTCTCGGTTTCGACTCGCGGACGAATTGTTAAGCAGGTATCCCCGGCGGATATCGCTTTTTGTTCTCTTAATTGGACGATCAGGTCATCCGGTGAAAGATTAATTGAGCCTTCCTCGAGAAGGACGCGGGGCCTAGATGCGTTGCGTAGACTTGCGAGCGCGTTTATTACATCGTCGCAACGATCTCGCAACGGGTCTCTCTCTCTCTCTCTCTCTCTCTCGCGCGCGCACGACACGGCGTGGCTCCGATCGAAGCGAAACATCAGCGGACCGTTACACGTCCGCGCGCGTCCGTGTGCCCCATTATATAATGGCACAGCAGTCGGATGGGGACTCGCGGCAGCTGCAGTGCGCCGCGGATGCATCCACGTGCAATGGCGCGTCGCCGTCGATATATGTGTGCCATCACGCCGATAGCGCGCATTATTGTACGCAGCAAGAGGCTGACTCGCGCACGATATACCGTGTCATCGAGAACACCGCGAGAGCCTATTTATTCGCCGTGCAATCTCGTTACGTGGAGGTTACGTTTCAGCGTTTATTGATCCTCCGTTCCAATGAGACCCGTTTAAGTCTCCGCGCTCCTTCGATCGGCAGTCCGGCCGGCGGGACTTTTCAGCCGTTCCGGCCGAGCGAAAAGATACGGATATCTCTCGTGGAGATGAAAACTTCGTTAATTAAAGGAATGTCTCACCGAGCGTTCCCGGCTTTCCGAGCACGATGTGATAAATCTATTTGTAACGAGTGTTCGATGAGATTTCCGAATAATCCCCGCTTGTTCTCCGGTCAAATCTGTCGAATTTCGAAGAATTTTGCGCGGAAGCACTCGCCTGCTAAAGAAATGAAAAAACTCAATATTTGAGAAACAAAAAATGGAAAAAAGATGGAAAATATCAGAAAAGCTGAACAAAATGTTACGATGATAAATCTGCTTCGAAACGCTTATGAAACGCCAATGAAACAGCCAAAAGAATAGAAATTTAAAACAAACCTAACCTAACCTAATTTTTTCTTTTTAATGATTTTTATTTGTTAGTTTCTTTTTTATTTTTCACCAGAAAAGAAATAGAATTTTCGCTTCAAGTGATATCCCTCGTATCGCTTAATTTAACCTAATTGAATCTAATCTAACCTAACCTAACAAAACATAAAAACTGAAGTTTAGATAGAGTGAAAATACTTTATGTAAATAGCCAGATCGCATTACACAACAGTTCAGGTTAGATTCAGCTAAATTAAATAAATCTTTAATTATTATTGTTGTTCCAAAAATATTGGTTGCATTTAAAATTAAAAAAAAAAAAAAGACAAATTTTCGATTTCTGGTTCCTTTTTCTTAATAATATACTTTAGCCAATTAAATTTGAGCCAAATGCTCTATTTTGACGGGTGACCGATGTTTCTTGTCCTTTCTCCCGCAAGTTTTAAGACAATGAAGTAATATTATCAGCTTGTCCTTCTTCGTTCTCTACTTTCCATCCTTCGCGCGCTGTCGTATTTCCATTTATCTCACGAAAAATACTTCATCCGCGAATGAACGGGGATTAAGCGATTACCTATTCTCTCGATTGCGAAACTCAAGGGCGCCAACATCTTTCGCTTCCTAGCTACATGTAAAAACTGAGCCGATCCGCAACGAGAGCTCGCTACTGACCTTGGCAACGAGTTGCTGACCGCTCTGCACGTCCAAGCAACGATAAAGAGCGCTACCCTCGGCCGGTCCGAGAAGCAGGAATCGATCCCCTAGTACGGTCGGTCCACCGTGAAGGTCATGGGGCACCGGCTCGTAGCTGGGGAAGACCACCGTCGACACCGCGTTGGCCTCGTCGCTGGCCGGCTGCTGCGACGACTGCTGCTGCTGCTGCTGCTGCTGCTGATGATGGTGATGAACGTCCTGACTGTTGCTGTTGGGACTGAGCAGGAACTTGCCATTGTTAGCGCGCGGCACTTGCAGATGCAGTGGATGCTGCCTGGCCACTCTCATGTTGCGCCTCTCGTGTTCTCCGCACGCCGCAGGTGTCGCACTATCGCGCTCGCACACACGGTACACCCGGTATATAGGAGCTCGCACACAGACGCTACCGACGGTCCCCTTGGCGTCCCTCCGTGGCTCGCGGCTGTAATATCGCGTTGAACACACTTCGTTCGTCACTTGTACTTAGCACTGGATATCATCGGCTCGAGCACCGACATCGGATGCTGCGTACGTGTGTCTGTGTAGATATACGTGTTTCTTTGTATACATAAGGTACGAGACGGTTTCACACGACGGTTTTTCCTTGACTCCTCTCTCTAAGCTCTACGTGTTAACTATAGTTAGAAATATCACTTGTGCTTGCGGGCCCGCGCAGAGTCGTTTCTTCGCAGGCTCGGGGCTGCGACGGGTCCTTGGACGGAGAGAGATCTTCGTGGGTAACCAGTCAGTCAGTCGCTCTCGGGAGCTGATCCTGCAACACGAACCGACGGGAGCGGGTGAGACTTTGCGGCCGAGTTCCGCGTTCAAGTTGCGAAGCGAAGTCGCCCGTTAATCGAGCGCGCGCGCGCGCGCGGCGCCATTCCGCCGGCGGAACCGCACTGCGTGCGGTAATACGCGCGTGTTATCGCGTGAGAAATGGCGTACATTACGTGCAATCTCACGTCGGGCTCACCACCAGCCGCAGGCGGCCAAGTGGCGCGTGTGCATTGAGCGAAAAGTGCGGCTAGTATTTGCGGCTGCGATCGCACGGCGAAAAAGTTACAATCCGGAGGGCCAGCTGTTTTTGCGGCGAGTGTGTTATTAATGGCAATAATCCTATATACAGGGTGACCGGGATCTTTTGGAAACGAAAAATTATGAAGATTGATCAGATCAAAGAGGAAAAGTCAAGTACCATTTTGTAAAAATCGCAATAGTTATCGAGTTACTAATGACTGAAAATAACCACATCTCCAGAGGCTCCTTTAATTAACAACTTGAAAATTTGCCTACTTATTTGCGACATGGCCAAGGACTTTTTCGTTCGAAATGACCTAATCTACAATCACAATGGCGGCCATTGTGCCATTTCAAATATTTATTTAACGTTTATTTAATGTATATTTTACATTAATTCTTTATTTAAAATAATGAATAAAGAAAATATTATATAAATTAATATTACATAAATATTATATAATTATATAAAAAATATATTATTTAATGTTTATTCAACGTTCATTTAATGTCTATTTTACATTAATAACTCGTTTAAAATTATTTTTAACATTTTAAAAACGTTTTTTGAACGTTTTTTTAATATTTAACAAATTTTTTTTTAAATATTGTTTCTCTGATTGGGTAACCAATTAAAAGAGCTTGTAAATGTGGTCAAACATTAATAACTGTTGCGGTTTTTGCAAAATAATGCGTGACCTTTTTCATTTTGATTCGATTCGAACCTTCATAATTTTTCATTTCCCAAAGATCCCGGACACCTTGTGTATATGTAAAACACACACAAATAATTCTACTCATTACTGAGAGTAACAATGCGCTTGTCGACACATTGCTGAGATGATAAGGACTATTCTTGTTTGGGCGAAAGACAACAAGATATAATTGTTGCAAGATTTAAGATATTTTAGTGACAAAAATAACCACACACAATTATTTTTATAACCAAGATACAGCTGTTGCAATCTTAAGACGGTTACAAAAATAACTACACACAGTTATCTTTGTATCTTAAGACGGTTACAAAAATAACTACACACAGTTATCTTTGTAACCAGGATACCGCACAGTTGTGACGATTTTAAGATAAAAAATAACTACGTGTAGTTATTTTTATAACCAAGATACAGTCGATTACACGATTTTAGCAACGTTGCTCGTTTCTTGCCGCTCGACGTGACTCCGTGGCGCGCCCCCTGCCCTCTCTCTCTCTCTCTCTCTTTCCTACGGATGAGAGAAGAAATGTTTGATATTCTCTCTAGGTAATCCGCGCACACACAGGTGGCCCTGGCCAAAATAACAGAGGAGGCATGGCGGCGCGCGCTTACACCACAATTACGCCCACGCGTTACATGCGAGCGGCGACGATAGTTCCGTTCGCAAAGTCCATTCCATATAATATGATTCACGGACAATTTCAAAAGACGGCGTGTTTCGACACTCCCGCGCCGCTCGTGCGCAATCCCGACGCGATGAGAAGGGGACATCTCGTAAGGTCAGGGATACCGCCTGGGTGACAGTGACGACGCAAGGCAGGTTTCCAGTCGCCCTGAGTCAATTTCCGGCCGTTTGCGTTGCGTTAATTAGCAATCGCCCGTGTATCGTAACTCGTTTCATCGGCGATATCGGTGACATTTTTCTGTCTTCTCCCTCCTCTCCCGCGCACATTCCCGAGACGTTGCGGAAAACAAGATAAAGGCGCGCGCGCGCGCGCGCGCATTTGCGTCGCGCACGCGTGTGATGCAAAATTTGCGGAAATTGCGCAGCAAAACGCGTCCAATGGGCGCGACAGAAAAATCCCGTGAGTCCTCGCGAGTCGCGGGAACGACGCGCGGCGCGACGACCGGCCGGCCGCATCGATCGCTCAAAGAGCAGACGCCATTGGCGACTCGAGGAGAAGCCGAAGTCTCGTGTCGCAGCGGTTAAATCGCGCGACGGTTTCGTCAACGACGGCGGATCCGTCGCCGCCGCCGCCGTTTCGCAAATTATTCGCGAAAGGGAAACGCTCGCGGCGGGCCGCCGCCGCGAGTAATATCCGAGATCGCCTGAAATAGTAGCGACGACGACGGCGGGCGATTCTCGCTCCCGCCGCCATGACTCACGCGTGTAATTTTATCGTAAAACGCTCGCCTCGCCCCTCTCCCCCTCCTCCCGCCGCCGCCGCTCCTCGCATGCTTTCCTTGTGCTGTGTCTTGCCGGCCCCTCCCTCCCCCCCATCCCCTCCGATAAGTGTCGATGACACGCCAGTGATCCGTACCCTGTGTTTACAAAACAATGCGCAGCCGCCCTCCGATTCGCCGAGGAGATCCATCGGCGGAATCCGCTCGGCTACGTGTCGGCGCACACGGGAAGTGCGAGTATGAGCGCACTTGTGACGGCGGAATCGAAATCCAAGCTATAAATAGAGCCGCGCTCGCTCGCGAGAGAAACACGCGCGCGCGCGCGCGCTGTGCGTTCATTCAACTTTTTCGCGTCTATATACCGTCAATCGGCTCGCTCTCGTGCGAGTCGAAAGTGCGTGCTCCGCGGTGAGAACGCGCGTGGGGCTCTCACGTTTGAGCGAGCATAGAGAGAGCCCCGGGTGAAGTGAGACTTGGCGAGACTCCGGTCTCGCTTGCGAGAATATGGCGGCGCCCTGTAGTCGCCACTTTCTAGGTATAAGTGCACGATCTGTGGGGACAGGGAGCGGGGAGGGTGAGCTGGGAAGATCAGCGCGGCGCTCTTTCAACGTGCGAATTTTGGCGGAGGTACTCCGCCGGGCGATCGGAAGTTGATGCCCTTGAGTGGATTTCCGTCGACTGAAGAAGTTGCCTGAATAGGGTTAGATACACCGTTATACAGGGTGTAGTCTGCTGGCAAAATTGTACGGCAGATTTCATGTTGGGATAATAAGAGAAGGCTTCGCAGACGTGTCCGCGAGAGCTTTCGAGACGTAATCCTGCGGAGGTGACAACGGTGAAGGAACGTTGCTGTTTCTTCAAAATAACTGTCAACTTTGACAGTTTCTGGATATTAACGCGAAATTGTCGCGAAGTAAACAAAAATGTATTATCTTCTCTTTGGGTGTCTATACTGTAGCTATTTTATTACTCGTAAGATACAATTTAACGAATAAAAAAATATTTAACTGTGTTATTAACCGTTTTTAACTAAGATTGCAGCAGCTATATCTCAGAAACTAAGAAAATATTTACTAAAATTCTTCTGCTTATCTTTGTATGTAGAATCGATGTGGTGAGTTTGTTGATGCAATTGAGATACACCTTGTACATCGCTGATAACATAACACTATTTTTGCGGATAAATTTACGTACTGTAATCACATATATTTGTCATCGCTCAAATGTGTGACAAGACAAGTCGCTGTTTTTTAAGAGCTTCTTTCTAGATGACGCAACATTACATTGCAGTGGGTTAGGTTAGATTTGGACAGATATTTGTTATCATATCTCACATAGAATAATGACATCCTCCAGGAATTCTAAAGATATTGCGGATTCTGCGGGAAAAAATGATAGCTGAATGCTAGCCTTTAAGACATCCAGAGGATGTCCTATCATAAGGACTCTTATGGGAAATGTTATGGATATTTCTTAAGTGTTTAAAAAAAAAAGAAAAAAAACATAGTTTATTAAATTTGCTGACTCCGAATTGTCTTTTCTGTTTAAATTATAAATATAAGAAAAAAGAAACACTCGACTCGATTCTAAATCGGGATTGACAAGTTGAATACATTAATAATCCAATTTCATTTTTAGAAATATAAAATTTTTCATCCTTTAAAATTTTAATCTTTCAGAATCCAAATGATAAATCTTTTAAATTTTAATTTCTTAGAATCTTTTGACTCTAAAAGGAATCGAGCTGTTAATGTATTCAATTTTCCAAGTCCGATAAGTATATCCGGGGATACTTTCAGAATATTTTCATATCCTGAGAATAACCCAGGACATCCTGGACATATTTAGGATCATCCTGAGAACGTCTTGCGTTGTCTAGGATGTATGTGTGCGTGATCGCAGTGCGTAGATTAATCTGGAAAAATAAGGCAATATCAATTGCGATATACGGTATTATTATTTAAACATTAATGGCATTCAATTTATACCGAAGTTTATGCAATTCTAATATATGAAATGTACAAAAAATTAATAGTAACTTTAGACATTCGTTCGATATCAAAATATTATTTGACATGAGAATTTTACAACACACGATAAAAAGAAATATTTCAAAATAACCTAATGGTTATTTGTGTATTTATTTTATATGATATATACAACAAAAATGATTGTTGTTGCCACGACATGACACTTATATTCCGAGATGCAAAAGTTTGCGAAATTTATTCGGCAAAACTGATTCCCGCGGTATCTTCACTTTGCGCGTAAGAGCGAGACAAGCTTGCTTCATCGGTTCCCGCCATATTCTTGCAGAGTCAGCCACCGATTAATCCCGACGTGACTCAAAACTTGGCCAGTCTCTCTCGAGGGTCTCCGAGCGGGTGATTCTCCCCTCGTTCCGTCGGCGGCTTCTCGATCGACTTTCCATCGAGGAGGCCGTTCGCGCGGATCTTCGAGGGAAACGGCTCGCCGCGTCGGCGGCTTGCGGCACGAGCGAAACAGCAAGAGACGGCCAGAGATAAAGGGAGAAAAAAAGCGGCGGCGCAGAAAAAGCGGCGGACAAGAGTCGCGTCGTTAAATGTCAAAATTGACCGCCCCGATCAGGCGAGCGAGCGCGCTGCAGCACATTTTCGCGATCGCATAATCGTCCGTTGCCGATTCAAGAAGACATGCAAATGCAGGCGCGTCGTCGTCCTTGGGGAAGCTCCTCGGAGCGCACAAGCGGCGTTCGTTCGCGCGTTTTCGCGCGGTGACGCGGGATGTCGCGCGCGGCGCCCGCCGAATTCGAGACCGAGAACTTACCGGGCGCGGCCGTAATCGCGCCGGACGATTACGTCAGAAACGCGAAACTCCGTCTCCCGGTGCGCCGAGATCGCGGGCATTACCTCTCGCATATTTCCAGCGCCAGATATTCGCGTCCGATAAGGAGTGTTTGCAAAAGGCGCCAGCGCCGCCTTTCTTGCCGGCCCGCGATTATCGCCGCCCGGCAATAAATAAAAGCGCAATAATAGCGTTGGCTGATAATTTATGCCAACGGCGGAAAAACTGGATTCTAGCGGTCGTTATTCTCGTTGAAATCGCCGCGGCGGAGGCGGAGGCGGGGGAGGGGGAGAGCGAGGAGGAGGCGGGCGTGTTTCTTTTTCTCCTCTCAAAGGGTCGCGCGCATACACACGCACGCGACGCCTGCGTCGACGGGGAGGAACCGAAGGCAGCGAGCCGATAATTAACGCCACGAGACGGATAACGAGCGGCGAGGTCGAGTCCGAGAAGACGGGCGTTTTACCGATTAAACTGCCGGTGACGAAACGCACGCCACGGCCGACCTTGGACGTGCGCAACGAGCAGCCGATCGATGCTCGCTCGATAGAGCATCGAGAGGCAGGAAACGCGAATCTCCGCGCGAGCGTACTCGCGACCTTGCCGAGATCCGTCGTTTTTCGCCACGCGGTACATTGCGCCGCTCGACGAAACGCGAGAGAATCCGCGCGCGTGTACACGTGGACGCCGCCGCGCGCCACTTTGCATCGCCGGGGAAAGCGGCGTGTTCGGCATTTGCGGTCACAATAGCGCGGTGAAAGAGGTCGGGAGCATTTTTTGCAACGAGCGTGCAATCGCAACGCAATCTCATGCGGATATCGCTACGCGGAAAGAGAACGCTCGGCTGTCGAACCGGCAAAAGTGGACTTGGGGCGGCGATGTTTTTTAATTCACCGCACTGATCCATCGCACGATCCAAGCGCGAATGCAGCCAAGCGTTCTTTTATTCATCGATGAATGACATCAATGCGCTCTTATTTGCAACGCTGAACTCATCACATATCCATCGAATCCGTCCACCACTCGTTTCGTCGATGGACTGATGAAATTTCTGCTTGAACATGGCGGGCATAACTTCCTAACCTAAAATGTTAATGCTTGCGTGTGCGATTACTGACACGAAAACGCTACTAGATTGTAATTTAATTCTTCTTCTGATTTTTCTCTTGAGACTTCATTTTTAACAACTAACGACACAGTGACGGCGATACAGATTTATTATTTAATTAAATGTGTACGTGTAAAACACATTTTCGATTAGGATTTCGAGCGTCATTACGTGCCAAGAGAGTGTACTCTGATAATAAATACAAAAAATGTATATTATGCAAAAATAATACGTATATAACAAATAAATTATTTATAATTTCTAATACTAATTTTGTATAATTTGCAAAAATCTGGGTTGCAGAATTATATGTACACATAAGCATTAAATTGTTAATTGTTTACCAATCATAATCGCGTATTTATTATTGACTTTAGTTGAATCCATTCGTCAAACCGTTCTTAACACGTTGACTGCCAACTACGAGATATCTCGTAGGTTGTTTACTTGCCCAGGACGCCTAACTACGAGTTATCTCGTCCCTTCATTACTTGCCATATTTGTACAGCTACGAGGAAACTCGTAGCATAACAGTGTAAATATGAATAGATGGCCTCAGGAAAGAGAATAAAAAATGTTTAAAAAAAAAAAAAACATTTTTTAAGCTTTTTGATTATTACTATGTACTATTATTAAAGTTTTTAATAATATAACATGATTAAATCAAATTGGCTCTTTAGACCGGAATCGTGAAAAATTCCGTGGCAGTCAACGTGTTAAAAATATGCCATCGAACATCTATCGGAGATGCCATATTGTCATTCGTCCGATAAAAATGCGATGAATTTGTGCTGAATTGAAAAACTCACTCCTTGTCCACGATTCGAACAATGAAGATAAGTTATCTTCATTTTTTAACACCGCACGCGGGAAACTATTCAGTTGGTGCAATTGAATTTCAATTGCGACAAATAAGAATCGACTGAACATTCGGTTGCAACGCGAGAGAAATTCTCTGTTAGGGGATTTTTGTTGTCTCACAGAAATATATTCGGTCACGTGAACCGGACCGTTAATGTCGTCAAGGGTACAAGTTTATAAACAGAGCGTCCCTGCGTAAGTCGAGGGGGAAAACGTTTGCGCGGCCGGGATGAAAATCGCGTCATTGGCAGCGTCACTCGGCTTCTTCAAACGAATCTCCTCGGTCGCGGTAAATTTCGTTTCTCTTTACATATACGATATGCTTCCACGCCTCTCGCGAGAGCAGCTGAATACTCTGCTGCGGCAGCTATATTTTCGAGCCGCAAAATATGAGTTCCTTCAATCGGAAGCAGCTGTTGACGCGAACGGCTCTTCGGTTTGCGAAACAGAATTTTTCGTTACTGCAAACGAACTAAATGTAAGAAAATTTCTAGTTGTCGCTTTAGAATATTTTTCCGCATACGCTACCGAGTCGGCTGAGCCTCTCTTTCTTTCTTGCTGCGAGGAGACACCGGGTGATTTTCGCGACACCAACATCTTTTATTTACCTCCCAATAACGCACGAGGCCTGTTTCGAAACCAGTCTCTGAAACTTTGGTTTCAGCTACAAAGTTCGTAAGCCTTAAGGGGTAACATCTGAGTGAACGCCTGAAAATACAGAGTAAGTTTGGGAATTTTTTGTAGTTAAATAACATAGATGGAAAATTTGAAAGCCTCTAACGTGCATATTTTAAACTACACAAAACAATTTTTTATTATTATTTTGCCTCAAGATGGCGGCGCTGAAGCTCTCCAAGTAAAACCGCATTTTTCTCATGGATCCCCGCCACGGCTTGCAACAGAAATGCCGTGCGCATTCAAAAAGGACAAAAAGGTAAAATTTTTGTTAATCTATATTAAATTTGCTAGAGAAATACACACGTATATGTTAAAATATTGATTTTTGTAGAAATGGTGAACATTAGGAAAAAAGTTTCAGTTTTAACCAAGAAATTCAGTGAAAAAATATTTATAGTAACAAAAGTTTTAAACCGATCGTAAAAATCGTGTGTACTTCTCTAGAGAATTTAGTTTAGCAGCTACTGTAAAAATTTCGAGTCGATCGGATGAAATTTACTAAAATTTCTGCTGCAAACCAATTCGAAAAACGTGGTTTTACTTGGAGAGCTTCAGCCACGCCATCTTGAGGCAAAATAATAACGTAAAATTGTCTTGTGTAGTTTAAGGTTATGCACGTTAGAGGCCTTCAACCACCAATTTTCCATGTACGTTATTATTTAACTACAAAAAATTCCCAAACTTACTCTGTGTTTTCAGACGTTCACTCAGATGTTACCCCTTAAACTAACCTAGATACGTTCCCTAATTGATCACGCTTAGACAGCTACGTACTATTTCTGTTTACAAATTTGGTCTTAGCTCATCATTTTGTAATATTAGATAGAGAAATGGATCGATTTTTTATCACTCATTATCTTGATAATTAATTAGCTGATCAATTACGGGACGTACCTAAGTTTAAAGCCTGCTAACCTTATGACCAAAAGCAAAGTTTCCGAAACCGACTTCGGAACAGGCCTAATGTCACCGCTTTTGCGCGGCTTGGTTAATCGGCGGCGGCTGATAATCTCCCCTCGATCGAAATCCCATCGCGCGTGCGGCCTGTTTGCGCGTACGTCGCATCGTTCGAGAATCACACGCCGTTCGCGCGGCAGATGCCGACCGGTGATACTCGCGGCTTCGTCCGTCATTGCGATATCTACGCACTTGCGCAAAACTCGACAACACCAACGCAACCGTGCCTCGGAGCTCCAAAGATCAGGGCTGTGCAACGCGATCTTTCGCGCCCTCCTCCTCCCTGCCTTCCTCTCCCTCTTTTTCTCGTTGTCGGCCTGCCTCTTCCTCTCGCGGGATACAGAGGTCGATCTGGTTCGAAATGATCGAGAGAGAGAGAGAGAGAGAGAGAGAAAGAAAGAGAGAGAGAGAGAGAGAGAGAGAACGGCCGCGGTTCGCTTCTCCGTCAGCGCGGAGCTTTCCCGAGGCGGAAAGCGACGTACGTCGCTATCTGCGATCACGCGGATGTCTCTCGATACTGCCGAGGTCAGCGCCGTATCGGCAGGTGAACGGGCCCCGGGCGATTAAAGCGTCTGTGCCAGATATTTCGCGATAACCCAGCGGCGAAGATATTCCGCAATCGCGACCTGACGGCGGCGATTTTCGGCTGGCCGCGGCTATCGCGGAGTGTTCGGAGGAAAAACGAGACGCGACTGGCAATAAAAATTGTTCAAGTGTACCACAAAATGTGTCGTCGGCGCGACGGCGTCTGCATACATATATTACGCGTCCCTCGCGCGCGCGCGCGCGTGTGTGTGTGTGTGTGTGTGTGTGTGTGCGCGCGCGAGGGAAAAAAGTTGAGAGAACAAACAGATATTTATTTGATGAGCCCTACTGACATATTTACTGAAATCTAAATTCTTTGCTTCTCAAGCAAGTTAAAACAATTGCTCTCACGATAAGATATATTCAAGGAAACATTTCTTTTCTCGCTCGTCCGAGAGAGGCTCTCTCGGTGTAAAAATTGGCACAAGTAAATATGTTAGCATCCACCGAATGTATAAATATTTAACATTTCTTAGATACACTCTCCCCTTCCCCCAAAGCGCGCAGCGCCAAATGTAGTTATCTTATCATAGATTCTTCATGGCTCTATGATTGAATCAAACAGCAACCTTCTCGCGCAAGCCTAGTTTGGCTTATTTACGATTTGATCAATCACCTTTGTTTATATATGTCTCCTGTATTTTGAACTTTACGCCGTCTGAGGAGACGCAATCTCGATTCGTTCTCTTCGGCGTTCACCAAGTGCATACAAAGTGTGGAAAATCACGGATCCTCGTGGCGGCGATACGCATGACGGCATGACGTAATGCGCTTAAGAACGCTTCTAAAATCCTCGCGTTAAAAAAAGAAAAAGAGAGAGAGAGAAAGAGAGAGAGAGAGAGAACAGCAGACGGCGATTTGCGCGCAGAACGAGGACACTGCGCAATACAGTCGCTGCTTTTTTCACGCTAAAATGACATCGCGCACCAAGAGACTCCCCCGAGGCATATTCTCCCCTTTATACAAAAAAAAAAAAAAAACAAAAAAAGAAAAAAGAAAATCAACGCTATCGGAAAAGAGACTTCTGAGGAGGACTTGAACCTTCCGCGTGATTTTACGCTTCGCAATCAAACGCGGCGTAATTTTCGCAGTCGCTCGTTGCCTTGCTGCCGCGGAATCGGGAGGCGATTTTTCGCCAGTCGATTCGTCGCGGCACAATCGAGACTCTCTCTTTCTCTCTCTTTCTCTCAGTCTCTCTCGGACCGGCGACGCGAACAGCGAAGCCGAGTCGGCCGGTGGTCGGCGACGTAGTCGGCAGGTGCGCGCAAAGCCAGGGCACTGTCGAGGTCTTCCCCACCTCGCGTCCCGCGTTCCCTCAATGAAACGCGTATCTGACGAAATCGTGAGCTCGGAATTAGTAAAGTGTTGCGTTCGTCGCCGCCGCCGCCGCCGTCGCCGCAGCCGCCTGTCGTCGTCGTCGTCATCGCCATCGCCGGGTGTGTCGAAACACACGCTATATAACCCCCGGACGCGTGCACGCGCCGTCGGCTGCCGTACAGATACCAGATATCCTTCGGTAAGGTCAAAATGGCGGAGCCTCCACCGCGTGGTGTCGCGTTCGCGTGCGCGCGCGCGGCGATATTGCGGGCGTCCGTTTGCATTAATAGCGCGCAACATAAACGTGACGCAAGCTCGCGAAATAAATTGCCTAACACTCTCTTGCCCCCCCCCCGCCCCCCTTCACGCTACACACACGTGCTCCGCAATGTTCGCTCGAGTCTCTGCCGAGTGGCGAAAATGCTCGCGATCGAGCGGAGTCGAGCGAAGCCGCCCTCGCGATGTCGAAAGCGGGCGTAATTTCGACGCGACGACCCCGATTTCCGGCGTCGCCGATAAGCGGCGCGCGGGAGGAATGGGGGGGGCCTCGAACACGGCGACGGGCCGCGTTCTCCCCACTCGGTCGCCCGACGACGATGCCGGATGTAAACTCGCTGAGGTCACACGCCGGCTGGCTTCGGGGCCCGCGTGAAATCACTCGTTCAGCGTAAACATACACTCATTGAGCGCGGAATGGCAGATACGCTGACTCAGTGGGAAGAAACAACAGACGGTCGCGCGGCCGCAGTCGCGCGATATCCTCCCGCGCTTCAGTCTGGGCCCGGGCTCGGGCCCGGGCCCCGGGGCCCGAGTCGGCTCGATCGGCCAAACGGCGCAAGCGAAGCGCGCCAATCGCCGTCGGCCGGCCCCGCCGAGATAGGCCTCGACGTCGACGACACGGACTCGCTCGGCGGGGATTCTCCGGCCGGGCGTTTCGTCAATTCGCCGAGGCCCGGGGAGTGTTTCGCTACGATAAGCGAGCGTACGTCAGAACGCTGAAGAGCCCCGGAGTCGTCAAGTCCGCCTCGAGTTGCGCCAACGCGAGTCGGCGTGTCCTTCGCAGCGTGAAATCTACCGAAATTCAGCCAATCGCGGCCCACAGTTCGAGCGGCAACTTCAGCTCGCACGAGCGGATTCGCTCTCTCTCTCTCTCTCTCTCTCTCTCTCTCTCGCGGCACTTCAGCTCGCGCACGAGCGCGAGAGCCTGTGCTCGCTAAGCGGGCCCAAACTTTTGACCGGCAGTGTACGTCGTGCCCACCGTGAGACGCCTGTCTGATGACCTTGACTACCTCCGGCGGGGTTTATCAGCGGAGGATTACCATCCAGGGCCGCGGGGTCGTTATGAAACGCACGCCGGGCAGGCCGTGACGCTGGAAAATGTCGCCGCGGCGCGGCACGCGTCGTCCATTAACGATCGACATCCTCGCCGGGGCGGGAAGAAGAGCGGGTCCATCCGGAGCGCGGCAGATTCCGCGGAGTCGGCGGAGGCCGCTGTCGACTGTCGAGGCGCCTCGGCCCGACGAATTCGCGGCTTCGTGACTGCGCGGATGACAGCGGAAGCGCTCAAAGTCCCATGATGCCTCCGCCACGGCGGCGAGTTGCGACTGGCACTTCAGATTCCGCGATATCGCGACATCGCTTATCGCAGGTATCGTCCTCGAGCGACGAACCGCCGCGCCGGCGATCGCAACCGGCAAGGCACACCGATCGTATCATAGTAGTCGTCACTGCACTTTGCACTGGGAAACGCCGAGGGCGCGCGCGCGCGCGCGGTCGATAACGCGTTGCCCACGAAATTCGGCCAGGAAGCGCGAAAGCGCGCCCGCGAGGGCCGCGGCAGCGGCAGAACGATTAATCCCTAGCAGCATCTGTCGACGGACCAAAGCGCGTTACCTTCACGTTGTCCTTCGTCGTTGTCGCCGTGCGTTCCTGAAGCGGTGGGTAGGTGCTGGACGATTGGCCGTCCGCGGGCGGCACCGCGATCGAGTCGCGGGGCTGCGAGAGAGTCTTCCTCTGCTCCGCCTTGCTGCGCTCGTCGTCACTACTCTCTCCTCTGCGATGAGATGTGTTGTGTTGTTGTTGTTGTTGCCGAACCGTCACTGGACGTGACTCGATCGGAAACTCGGCGCTTTTCGTCGGACCGGGCTGAACGGGCCCTCGCGAACCGGGAGACAACAACGGCCGACGAGAAAGAGAGAGAGAGAGAGAGAGAGAGAGGGAGGGAGAAAGAGCGAGAGTGAGCGCGCGCGTACGCGAGACGAGACTCGAGGTAACCGCGCGACGGACGGTCCAACGTTGGGCCGGCCCACCGCTCAGAAACGACGGCGGCAGCAGGACGAACAAGCACGAAACAACGGTGCCATTGCGCAGCCGACGACTGCGAGTTGCTGCGAACGACTGAAAGTGAGCGAAGCTAGAGCGTCTGCCGCGGCTCGCCGCGCCGCGCCGCGTCGCGCCGCAGCTGCGCGGCCGCGGCTGCGCAGACGCGTGCCTTCGACTCGCCAAGTCGCCACGGCGGCCGCCAATCGCGGCCACACCGCTCGTGGGGCCCTTCGCGCGTTGTCATTTCGTATCGTCGATGCGGCAGACCTGCCTTGTGCGGTTCTCCCGCGGGCTGTTTTAACCCTTCGACACGTACAAACACGCCTGGGAGACGTCGTTTGTTTCGTAGGTCACTTTAGACGCTGCGTCTCGGAGACGCCGAGAATTTATACGCTAATTCATTAATACTGTCCGTTGACGATGTTTTATGATACTTAGCAATGTAAATGTCCTGTTTCTTGCATAGCTTACATAACTTTAGGTTGAGCTGCATCAAGTGGTTTGTCAAGGGATTAGTGCCGTTGCACGCGCGCGTTGCTGACGCAATGTCGCCCGAGTCAGTGTCGCTTACATTGGTGATTTTATCATACGTTACATTATTTATCACATATAGCTTATATTTAGGTGATTGCATGTAATAATAGCGTTGCGTCAGATTGATTTAGTCTCGTTGCGATAGATCGATCGGCAGTTGCGGGAGTGTTGAGCCCGAGGATGCTCAACACTCTCATTTTGTGATGATGACATTGAAACTCGCTCGCCAGACAGCTATCGGAAGCAAACGCGCGTTGTGGTGATAACGCGATCACGACTTCCTAACGCGTCATCCTGTTCCCGTTCCGAGGCGGCTCGTGAGATTCAAGATACACGGATCACTCGGAGACAATCGCTCGCCGAAGACAAATGACACGCGAGTTGCATCAGCAACCGAGGTAAGACACCTGCGAGTCGTTCTGGAGAATCAGCCGGCAAGGCCGGCGGGGAAGGGAAGGGCGCTCGGCTGCTCGCGCCGCTACTGGCCGTATCGATATGTATACGTGGACTCCTCGGGCCGCGACACGCGGCCGTATATCGTATTGAGCTTATCAAGTATTATACAGGGTGAAGCGTCTGTAACATCGATAGCGTAGCGGTTGGCAAGTTCGCCAGCCGAGGCGGAGATGAACCGCGCGCCGTTCTCGGCCGGACGTGACGACTCTTCTTCTGCTTCGTGCCGAAGAACGCATCCCCGACGAGTGCGCGCGATCGATCGAACTTTCACGTGCTTTACTTAGCCTTTACGTGCTTCGGAGCCGATCGGAACAGAGCGGGAATCGCTCTCTCTCTCTCTCTCTCTCTCTCTCTCTCTCTCTCTCTCTCTCTCTCTCTCTCTCTCTCTCTCTCTCTCTCTCTCGCTAGCCTGCGATTTTCATCTCGTCACGAGTGCGTTAAGCTTTGTATTCCCCTCGTAGCTCAATTCCGATCGGTTACGCAAGTTTGCGATCATTTGCGCGATAATTCGAGCAATCTCGCCGAGGCTCAAGTGGAACCGTCGCCCACAGTCGATACCCTTCAAAATTCGCGTCTCTTGCAATCCTCGCCTCTCACCAGCCACAAGCGAGATCATCGAAGAGAGACGGAGACTCGTCCGGCGCGGTGCAACGCGCCCTTGACCTACCTTAACTCTCGTCGTCGCGCGCGGGTGGCACGCGCTGAACAATTGCGCGCTTAAGGGCATGTAACATCACCCACGTACGACCGTGACGGATCTCTCCCGCCTTTGATTATTCAGCTTTTCCCAACGCGGCGAAGCCGCGGCTGAACAGTCGAAGCGTCAGTATTTTTCGCTCTCTCCTCGCCTTCTCCACCCGCGACACTCAATTTTCCCACGTGACCGGGTGCGATGGCGCGTGTGCAGGAGCGTAACACGTAGGGGGGAAACTCTCCCCGGACATTTCACATTTCATTGCCCCGTCGAGACTACTCGCGCAGCAAAAGCGCGGATCAAAAGTACACTCGGACGCGAATCTCTCTCTCTCTCTCTCTCTCCCTCTCTGTGTCTCTCTTCTTTTCTTTTTTCACGAGATTCACCTGCGACTTCTTGCAACACGCACGCACTGTGCGTGCGCTTGCACCGTCGAAGTGTTCCATATCGATTCGCCGGAGCGCCATGCACGCACAAATCAACGCGCCGCTATCTATGCGGTCGTTTGTGTTGTCTCTCCCTCTCTCTTTCTCTCTCTCTCTCTCTCTCTCTCTCTCTCTCTCTCGATGGAAAGTGAGAGAGAGAGAGAGAGAGAGAGGGGATACGGACGATTGCGTGATGCCTTGGATCACGCTCGAGTCGGGCGAGTTCTCAAACGCACTCCTCGCGTTCCGGCCACCGGATATTGGTCAAGCTGCGCGTTTTTTCTCTCTTGTTTTCTCCTCTTCTCTCCTCTCTTTGACCGGCTCGACGCCGCTACGTGGGTGCCGCGCGGGGGGCGATTAGCGCACGCGGGGCGGCCAGCGCGCGATGAGGAGCGGGCGCGGTGGAGCAGAACGAGAGAGGATTATGGCGATCGATATTCGCCGCGGGAACACGCATTTATGGGCGACGCGCGTCCAGGGATGCGCGGGTTTATGAAATTGCGCGTCGCCCGCGACGCGATCTCGCGTGCGACGAATGCGTCGCAATTTGCATCGCAAGCGCGACTTCGTATCGCATCAACTCGACTCTTCGTCACTCCTGATTTGGAGTCGCGGAGTCGCAAGTGTTTGGAGATATTACTGCACCGAGAATCGCGCTTTTCTATGATAATCCATGAAAGAAGCTATAGAAGGGTACATGTGTGCGAGTCTTCGAGAGGTTTTCGCTGCAAAACCGAATTTAGACTATCCACACACGAGTTTGCACATCTCTTTGCAAAATTAATCTAACCTAACTCAACCAAACGAAATCTAATGAACTGACCTTAAGTTAAAAAATGTAAGAAATTACTCTTAAATGTAACATTTGTCGTAGCGTAATAAAGCTACAACAATTTTTTCCTACAAAAATCCCCCTTTTAAAAAAATGTGTATATATATTTTCTCATTGCAGTCTGTTGCGCTGATCTTTACGAAAAAGGCTTCAGTTCTTTTTTTTTTTAGTGCAGAAATATTTCCAAATATTTGCCGGAATTGCAGGCGATTTTTTCGGCGGCGTATTGCTTTCCAGTCGCAGGCTCGATTTGACGGTCAAAGTCCGATTGTGCGTCGCACTCATAGACGTATAATATCTAGACCGCGCGGTCGCAACATCTCTCTTTGCTAGAACGCGTCAGAAATTAGAAAGAGATAGGTGCTGTACCATTCTATCTTTGTCTAAAGACGCGTGGTAGGGCAAAAAAGAGTTTGCCGAGGGACGTAAAAGGTAGGTAGAAGGGAGCGGAACGATACACGTAATCTCCACTCCAGACATTATCAGACGAAGACAGAATGGTAGCCCAAAGCATGCTCTCTCTTTCTAATGTTTGGCGACTTTTCGACCGAATGCGCGGTCTAGTTATTATACGTCTATGGTCGCATTGCAATTGATTGAGAAAAAGAGAATCACAGCGCTCGCGATATATCGCAGAATCGCAAGCCAGCTGTTTCACGAGATCCGGAAAATCGCCCGCGACCGTGTCGTTTTATCGTTTGGTCGTTTCGACAGCGGCGATCCATTATCGCGACGTGTGTTTGCAAACAGCAGCACGATTAATAAAAACGTACAAGCCATTCGAGATATTGCATGCATTTTCAAGCATGAGCCAGGCCAGTCGCTTCTGTCTGTCTCCGGACTCTCTCTCTCTCTCTCTCTCTTTCTCTCTTTCTCTCTCTCTCTCTCTCTCTCTCTCTCTCTCTCGATTCGATCGATAGCGAAACTTGTTTCAGCGCGCGACGTTTCGATCAATAACCAGGCTTGTTTCGATCGCCGCGACGGAGGCTGTGCTCCTCTGACACTCTGCGTCCGCGATCCGTAACAATCGTATATGATACACCGGGTGTTTCACGATAACGCGCGAATCCCTGCGTGTGCAAATCGGGTCAAAGCGGAGAAAAAATTCCCACCATCCCGCCATTTTGCGAATAACCACGTAAGGTAAACGTCCCAATATCCGACTACTCTGAAAAAAATATTTACTATTTATTTTAACAATAATGAATAAAAGTAATAATTATTGTAAAAGGAATTCCAATATTTGAGGATTAATTGGAAAAAAATGTACCCAATTTGATACTTTTGTGTTAAAATAAAAATTAATTAAATAATTACGCATCTATGGTTTGGAAAAATAATGGTCAATCGTTAATAAATTCATTAAGAGATCATCTATATTTATATTATTTCCCGTTAGCACATATTTATTTTCTAACTGCGGCCAGACACTGGGACAAATATATCCGAACATTATCCATAACCTATTTCAACTGTCCGGTCACTGATACATTAATGCTCTTCATTACTTATGTAAATATTTCATTAATAATAGGTATATACATTGGTTTAAATCATATTTCTTTACTTAAAGGAATCTTAAGTTTTCGAATAAGTGCAAATATTTATATCAAAACTATT